CAATTTGGTATAGTAAACAAACATCCAAAACGCGACACGGTGATGCTATCAACAAAAAACAAAGTCGCGTACCCACCACCATTACTTTTGTCCAGCACTGTATTTTGTGACAGTGCTTCTCAATAATATACTCTCTAATCAACTTTGGGTTTATTGCTGCTAATTGATGATAAGCTTCTCGTGAAATTAGGTGCTCATCACAAGTCTGTACAACAGAGTTACAGTGCTGTGAGAATGCTACAGAATCCTCTCCATTTGAGAATGTAAACTGAACATCCTGCATGGATACTTTTAGGTCAACTGACTTAAGCATAACATCTGTATGCAGTTGATGTTTTTCAAAGACAGATTCTAGATTTCCTTGAATTTCAGTTGCCAAAGCTGTTAGCCTCTTATTCTGCTGAGATCTAGAAATCATTGAAAAGGGATGTTTGGCTAGCTTCTGAGTATGAGAGGTTTCACATACAATTCGTTCTCTCTCACTGTGTAAACATGCAATGTCAAAGCTGAAAAGATTAGTCCCTGAAACACAAGTCTTTGGTTTTCCAAGTATATTCTACAAAATGGAAAAGGAACACAACAAATGTCAAGTTCATTTATGTTTATTCACAAACAGCTAAAAAACTTACAGTGTTAAATAAGTTTCCAGCATCACTGGCTGATTTGTCACTATGAACTGTTTGCGTTTGGCCATTTTCATCTTTCATTGACACACAATAACGAACTATTCCCGAAGACATGTACTTTGTTTGACAGGTTACTTCAAAACCTGACAGCCTTGTTTCCATTTTATATTTATCAGGTATTTTATACTGCATACTAGCACTTGGTGTTTTTTTGGTAAATTTGGTATTACCAGGGTAATAGCCAAGTTTTAATATTTTATATTTCTGATGAAATACACAGCTGCCAATTATGCGCGAGTATACTATTGAATATGGCATGGAGAGAGGGGAATCTTGTGTAGAAGCACAAACTGGTGTCTCACAGAAATTGTCTGGTATAAGGGGTTCCTGGAACTCATAGACATCTTGCTGGTTCATTTTACAACTACCTGTGCAGAAAGGGAAAGTCACCAAAATGATGTTTAAATAAACAAGCAGATCGGGAATATTTTTATTGATTATTCTGGTTACGCACTTTATAATTATAATTTGATAGTACAAAAGAGTGATATCACTGAAATTCTTTGAAATGCTACATGTTGTCTTTCATATTACAGTTGCATCAACTCATCCCCATTAGTATAGTTAACACTTATAACTACTCAATCAATTGAATGATACACCTGAACTAGCGG